AACTTCAAGCATAGACAAAATAAAAAAATAAAACAAACTTATTCCTCACTACAATCGAGGGACGAAATGACGCCGGTTGGTGAAAGCCTTCGGGAAGCCAATTGGCCGATATGTCTCCTCTCGATGAAAGCGAAAGTAAACTTGGGGACAAGGAATGTCCGCACGATGTTTGAATCCAGCAAGGCAGCCCAGATTGCCAAAGAGATGAGAAGATATGGTATAGAAGTGCTAGGAATCTGCAGATGGAATGCGAGTGGACTCTCCAAACTGTCAACTGGAGAATCAATAATCTACTCCAATATTGTCATTCAGATGACAACCACGAGCACAGCACACTGAGTTTTCGAGTGGCTATCATGATGTCCCAACAGCATCGAAGGCTCTCATACAGTGGGAACCAATCTCCTCCTGCAGGATCACATCATGACGGTAAGATTCAACTCAAAAGGAAGGAAGGAAGGTCACAACCATTCAATGCTATGCTACCCATCTAATGCAGATGAAGAGAAGAAGGAGGAATTCTACAAACAACTGCAGTCAGTAATGGACAAGATGCCACTCCAGTTGGCGACATCAAAATTCATTCTGATGGGTGGGGTGACGTGAATGCCAAACTGGGAGCGGACAACACAGGAAGGGAACTAACCATGGGAGGTGAAGCGCTCAGTGAAATGAACGAGAACGGAGAATTGTTTGCAGAATTCTGCGCATTCAACGATTTGGTGATTGGAGGCATTGTGTACAAACACAAGGATATTCACAAAGTGACATGCATTTAACAAGATGGACGCAGTACACTAAAATTCTATCGACTTCATCTGAATCTGAAGAAGGTGGAGACACAAGCTTAGACACAGGAAGAGGAGCAGATGTAGGTGCAAAGAACCTACCTTCAAAACCAGGTTGAAAGCCTTCAAGGAAGCTGTTGATAGACCACGGTTCAAGTTCAACACTCAGAACAGTAACTGAAGGACGAAACTACAAGGGACGTCTTCACGTCAGTCATCACGACAAAATGGGAGATATCGAGGAATATCCCTGAAGAAACCTGTGTGGATGAACACTGGAAGTCTTTGAAAGAGGTGTGGAAAGAAACCTGCATAACCGTATTAGCAAGGAAGAATAAAGAAGATAAAGAATGGAATGGATCTCGACGGAGACATGGAAGCTGATAGAGAAGAGAGAGGAGGATGTTGAAGCAGAAGACAAACCAGTGCAAGGATGCACAGTGAGGAGAGGAACTGAGTACAATGTATAAAACACTACACTGGACAAAGAAGTGGAGAAGAGTGCGCGCAAAGACAAAAGACACTTCTACGAAACACTGGCAAGTGAAGCAGAACAGGCTGCAGGTTGGCGGAGACAGGGACCAGACAACATCATATCAAATAACCAGGTTACTATCTGGGAGGGATAGATCAACGCAGATGAAACCAATAAATGATGAAGAAGGAAATTTAATTACCAAAGAAGAGAAACAAACGAAACGATTGGCCGATTACTTCAAAAAGCTCTTGAATCGACCACCACTTTCACTTTGTCCCCCAACAAGGGTCGAAGTCCTGAGCACCATAAAGCTACTGAAATGCGGGAAGGCAGCAGGACCAGATGGAATTCCGCCAGAAGCATTGAGAACAGACGCAGGGACAACAGCGGACATGCTCACACCACACCACTATTTCAGAAGGTCTGTAAGGAAAAAAAGTTACCTGCTGGTTTATTGGAAGAAGGGTTACCTTGTCAAGCTCCCGAAGAAGGGCGACCTAAGTCTTTGCAAGAATAAGCACTAGCGACGAATCATGCTGCTGTTCACCGGAAGCAAGCAAAATATTAAGCCACATCATCCTGGAGAGAATAAAGGATGCGCTAGATTCGGAACTACGACCGGAACAGGCCGGCTTCAGGAAGTACAAATCATGTTCAGACCAAATTGCAACGCTTAGCATAATCATAGACAGAGTATAGAATGGCAGTCAACCCTCTACCTCAACTTCATCGACTTTGAAAAGGCAGGCGTTGGACAGCGTCGACCGAGAAGTACTTGGCAGGTAGCTGATTCAACACTACGGCTTTAGTGCCACAAACCATTATCAACCTCAATCAACAGCTATATGAGGACGCCACATGCCAAGTGCTTCACAATGGGAAGCTCAGTGATGCCTTCGAAGTGAAGACCGGAGAAAGACAATGCTGTCTACCATCACCCATGGTCTTCCTGGTTGTGATGAACTAGATCATGCAGCAAACCATGAGGAGCGAGAAGAAGGGGATAAGCTAGCTGGACCGCGTAAAGGTCCTAGAAGATTTGGATTTCGCCAACGATGATTTATGTCTAACGTCTTGTTGCACAAACTCAAAGGTCTCAAGCCAAAACCCAACAAGTTGACAGAAGATGCAGGGCAGCGAAGACGGTACTCCAAGGGAACGTAGAGAAGACAGAGGTGATGATGATACCCAACCAACACCACCGACAACAACAATAAGCACCAATCACCATCAACTGGAGAAATTTAAAGGAAGTAGTCTCTCACTTACCTAGACAGCACCGACTCAACTGCAGGCGGCACAGACGAGGACGTCAAAGCCAGGATCGGAAAAGCAAGACACGCCTCTTTAATTTGAAATCTGTGTCGAGATGTACTGTACTCAGCTCAAAGAACAAGATCTGGATTTCAACACTAATCCCAGTCAAGTCAGTGCTTCTATATGGTTGAGAGACTTGGCGCATCACGAAAAGCACTTCCAAAAACTACAGACATTCATCAACAACTGCCTACGCTCGTTACTGAAGATCAGATGGCCAGAAGGAATAAGCAAAAAGAAATTCACTCTGGCAACGAACCAACCAAGAACCTATCGCTCAACAAATATGCAGAGAAAGTGGAGATGGATCGGGCATACACTGAGAAGGCCGACTGGGGACATCATGCGTCAGGCCAGGCCCTCGAGTGGAACCCAGATGGGGAGCGACGAGTTGGTTGTCCGAGGCGAGGATGACATGGAGAAGATTGTGTAAAGAAGAAATGAGAGCTTGTGGGCAGTTGTGGAGCCAAGTTCAAAAGTTTGCAGAGAAGAGAGTGAAATGGAGACGTGTTACTGAAGCCCTATGTTGCATTAGGAACCCAAGGGACAAATATTAAATGAAATAATTATAACCATATTTACGTATCAATATGTAAATCCCATTCATTTACTAACAAAAATTTTCATTCACTTAACGTGCGCTAGTTTGCTGACCTGAAAACTGAATACAGTGTCTATTATAGTCATTGTTTACTAATGTTCATATAGAACAAGTTGATGAGGTTGAGTAGAAACAAAACTGAAAGGTATCGTCATACCTTATGGCATATTTTTCCATAAATAACTAACAACTTCGAATGAACTCTAACTCCTCAGTTAGACAGGAAGAAGTAATCATTTCAAGACATTAGAAGAGATTTCATGCAAAATGTTTTAGATCTATGGTGTTAAAATGCACCAAAATATGTCAAACTGTATTTGAAATTACGATAATTGCAAAAAATTGTTAAGACTAGCTTTATCTATCATATACCGATGATTATTCTGATCGGTATAGGAGTTTTAATGCCATATACACAGTAATCAACTGATACTTAGTATAGAAAGTTAAATACATCGATTGTAAACAGGTTGAACTATAACCATCAGCTATTTTTTTTGTTTTTTAATACGTCACACGTAAATTTAGGAAAAAAACTTTCATCCAGTAATATATGTGTAATGAAGAACTGGCTTTCTTATGACACTGTAGTCCCTACTGTTGCTGAGAAAACACTTGAGAAGTTTTCAATGAATGAATACAACAATCAACTTGTCACACATGTGTGATATCCCATGGGTTTAGTTGTTAGTAGTAGAGTGGATCACAGTGATAGTATATTGACCTTGGTGACTAGTAGAAGAATCCAGACAGGCGTTTCGTCTATTTGGGACTCCTCAGCCGGACTTACCTTCACCCCGTTGAGTGATGTTGTTCCCACCGAAGCTCGAGCCCAGTGTTCTTCGCTTCAAACGCCAAGGCCTTATCCACTATGCCATGGAGGAACAATAGCGATTTCCTGAACAACGGCTAGTAGTTATTACTATTCACCGACATACTTGTAATTCTCCGTTGTTTTATTGGATCGAATAGTTCGGCTTCTATTGACAATATGGGCTCCTATGTGGATGCCTCGAAAGTTCCTGAGTGTTAATTACGGTAATTTAGTTGGTTGTGATTAGCAGAGGAATCTAGAAGGCGCGTTTCTTCCTATTTGTGACTCTTCAGCTGGATGTACCTGCACCCCAGTAAGTGATGTTGTCTCCATTGGGACTCGACCCAGTGCCCTTCATCTTAAACGTCAGAGCGTTATCCACCAATCCAATGTGGCACGATAGCCCCACCTTGTGCAGCGGGTGTCAGTTGTTGTAATGATACTTGTAATTTGTGGCTGCTGAACAGGGCACCATTGCTCGACCTCTGTTGGCAAATCATAGTGAGGAGGAGTGTAATAAACATACCATCATAACTATTTACTCTTCACAAATGGAAGTTCTAATGATAAATACAAAATTAATGTTCTAGCCTACAGAGGGATATACTACAAGTTTTTCTAGAAGTACCTTTCGTATCATGTAGTTCATATTTAAAACTGTTGTTCTAAACTTTTCTTCTTTTTTCTCCAATGGTAGAGTCACTAGTTGACAAAAGCTACTGAATAAGTTCAAGGGTTTTTTAAAGCCGATACAACAATACTTTCATACTGAAATGACTCCTGCTACGCCGAAATTTTCTACTGAAATTGTAATCATACTGTTTATTAGACTATCAGGAATAGCCTTGGTATAACCAACTACTTCTGATGTAGGAAGTGGATGAATTCAACCGAAAGGTATTCTGGATGCCAACACGATTTAAACTAGAACCCTTTAGGTTACGATATTGATATTAAATCAAGTGACCAACGGTATACAGTCACTGAAAATATTTCACTTACACTTCAATTATTGACAGCTCCCATTATTATCATAGCTGTTTAAGTAGTCCAGTCAATAACTGATCAATAACTTCTCTTTTTTCATTCACTTTGAGGCTGGTTGGAACGATAATACCCGGTTTGTTAGCTTCTGTAATGGAATATGAACAGTTACGTATTACCCATTCATAAAACGACCTAGTATAAGTCACTTTCAATGGTTAGAATTTACAGTGAAATGGGTTAACCAATGGATCAGTAAACCTTAGGATGTGAGTTAAAATACTGCTGCTAATCAAATTTCACTTCAATTTTCGTCATCATCTACTCTTCATTATAGCTTGAAACGACAAATAATAGTGTCATTTTACTTGGTTATATGAACAGCGAGATTGTTCTGCTATTTACTTACTACACAGCTTTCATTAATCATATGAAAAATTAGGAGGAATAAAATGTATCATTATCTATCGCATATTTACATTATTTGGTATCATAATGGGACGTATAAACAAACTAATTTATAGATTTTAATAAATATCACCTATTTTTAGATAAAAAGAATTCTATCCTTCAAACAAATATAGTATATTCTGCAAAATAATAAATAATGTAGCAATCGATTGTAATGTATTTCAGTCATAGGTATTTGGGAATAGCCTGAAAGCGATTATACTTTCTGTTGTAAATACAGATAGAAAGAAGGTATAAAGTGTTGGTTTTTTAACGACACCTTAGCATCAGAAAGTATGGATTCCATTTAACACTTGTATCACTCACTATACTCTACTTATGAAGGATATTGATCTCTAAGTAATCGAAGTGAAAATTACATCATCAAATTTCATCATACAAATTACTATCAGTTAGATTATTCATTGTTCAAGTTCAATGTCTTCATTGAATTGAATAAAGTGTGCTAAGATTAATCAGTCAATCAATAATCGGGACTGTTTCATACTAATTGATTTTAGGTTGGAATTCCTGATGGACTGATATCAGTTGGAGGAACATTGGAAACCTCAGAGCACTGGACAGCTGTTTCGTCCTTGTATAGGACTCCTAAGCAATGCGCACCCATGACCACGTCCCATCAGAGATCGAACCTAGGACCTTCAGGTGCCATGGCCAGCACATTACCACTGAGCTACTTGATCGGAATCCAATGGTCCATATTTCCTACCTCTGTCAGTTCACCATATAGCGAGATCTACATCCAATGTCATCGTTGAGTAACTATTCTCATATTCAACTTGGTTGACTCCACCAGTCACGACTTGGCATTGAAACTCTCAAGAACAATGGCTATGATTACAACTTGTACTAAGTCGAAATATTCCTGAAAATTAGACTACTTTAAAGATGCTTCATCATATTCCACAACTCTTTATATCCTTAAGCATATCTCTCCGTTAAAATTGAAAGAGTAAATCAGTATTTAAAACACTGAATAAAGCTAAGTCTCAATTTTAAATACTAGAATCTCATTAGCAAGAAGAATACTATAAGTTCTAACATGAATATACAATTAAATCCTTTGTCAGTAAACTGAATTGTTGTAGAGTAAAAGTAAAGTTTTTCTTCTGATGATGATAGCTATTGTAAACATGATTAGCATATTGTCCGATGGTTGAAATATTTAACTCGTTGGTGGACTGTAAAATTTAACATTCAAACTTCTGAGTCTGTGGAGCAAAAAAAGGGGCAGACTCATGTAGGTGACTTCTAAACTTTAATACAATCCCTGACACCTATTTGTGAATATGTTCCTGGTCTAATGTGGGATCCATAGGTTTTGATTTGAAGGCTCAAATACTATTAAGCATTTTTATCTACATGAAGTTGTAAGCCCACAAATGTCTGCCATAAAAACAAGTTAAAACTCAGCACTACATGATTTATCTTGCTATTTACACTTTTTTCTCGGTTGGTATGCCCAACGTTTGTAGGTAATTCGATGCTATTTGGTTTTACAGGAGCACCTCAATGTAAAGAGCTCAAAATAGTAGATGAGTGTTTGGTATGTGAAACTCCAGATCGTTGAACGGCAGCTGCATTTCCGGAAACTGATTGATGAGGTCAGTGGTCAAACCACAGGTAATAAGAGATTTGAAGTATCCTTTTCAGGATACTGCAAGATATTTCCTCTTCTAGCCACCGAATATTTATAGGGTCATGTCACTGACTGTTTGACAGGTTTTACTTCATATATCTGTATTCTTTTACTGACCAAGACTATTCTATCCACCTTCATTAGTCTTTTTGTCAGTCCGCTTGTATTTCAGCGTTTGGAGACTCAGAGGATTAATTTATGTTCCTGTTGAGTTTTCATGCAATAGCAACCTTTCTCACGATCGTACAAATATCACAGTATCCAGCTGATCTGTAATGATTTTAAAATCAGCTGCTGAGTTAAGGATATAAGTTATGATATGAATCTCGTTTTCAATCCCTTCACAAACATACAATAATCTGTAACTGGAGGTTGTTTGACCACTCTCAATGACTAACGGGACTGGGAGATACAACCAAATGCCAATACTTTTAAGAAGTATAACTCTCCCGAAAGATCATTTTCACAGTGTTCAGAGGATAATAAAGTTATGAAAACCACAGAGTTTATAGATACACACAATCTGAGAATACGTTGAAGAGCAAGGTATCATTCTGAATATTGCATCCAGCGGCTTCTAATACACTGTCTAATATTCGCAAAGCTCATTAGCTACTGCTAGACATAATACTTATTGATGACATTATATTAACTGTACACTTCCATCCCTTGGACATCTTAGTTATTCTTTCAAAACTACTGTGAGGTGAGTGTTTTCATGTATAAGAAAGAAACTTAAGATCACCTGCTGATTCTGTAGTATTATTATCCATAAATGACCACATTGAAATTACTATTATTTGTTCCTTGGGTTCCTAGTGGAACAGGGCTTCAGTTGCACGTCTCCATTCCACTCTCTTCTCTGCAATCTTTTCAACCTGGCTCCACCACTGCCCACAAGCTTTCATTTCCCCCTCACATGATCTCCTCAATGTCACCCTCACCTCAGACGCCCAACTCATCGTTTCCCATCCGGGTTTCACTCGACGACCTGGCCTGACGCGTGATGTCCCCAAACCGTCTTCTCAGTGTATGCCCAATCCAATCCATCGCCACTTCCTTCTGCATATCTGTCGGGCGATGGGTTTTTGGTTGGTTCGTTACCAGCCAACAAGAGTTCCTTGTTGCATATTCTTACTATTCTGGCCATCCACCTCACCGATCTTCAGTATCGAGTGGGCGTAGGCAACACCTGTTGATGTATGTTTACAGTTTGTTGAAAATGCTTTTCGTAACCCGCCGCCAAGTCTCTCAACCATCACACGGAAGCACTGGCTTGACATTAGCAGTATCGAAAATTTGGATCTTCTTTGTGATGAGTGCAGTAGATCTTCACACTGATTTCACATTGATTAAGGCCTGTCTTACTGTCTTTCCGATCCCGGTTGGCTTTGACATCCTCACTTGTACCTGTGCCGCCTGTCATTGAAACGATGCTGCCTGCCTAGGTAGGTAGGTGAAAGAGACAACTTTGTTTAGATTCCTCTCGTTGATGTTGTTCGTTGTTGGTTGTGTATCTTCATCACCTCTGTCTTCTATACACTCACTTGAAGTCCTGAGGTGAAGCTTATTTTCGATAAACCATGTTTAAAACGCGCTCGAATTGATATATATATATATAATATTCAACGTCCACTCTACACCCAGTGTTGGTTACTTGTCAAATTATTATATCGACACTTGACCGAAATATGTAATCAATAGTAGTTTCAAAACGCTAACTCCTCATCGACTTGGTGTTGCAAGTAAATAGTAGTGTTAGAGTAACAGATGCTGTTATTCCAAGATCCAGGCTGAAGCAATCTAAGCTTCAGGTCTTTAGTGTTGGGACAAACTTTCAAAAAATTAACCCCGATATTTATACTGCCAGGCACAGTTGAACAATGTACAATAGAAGGAAATATGTGTTCTCAGTTCCAAAGTAAAACATTTCTCAACAATACATATAATCGTTTTCACTTTATAGTAACCATTGGAAATAAGAGTGCAGAATTATAATAAGAGACTGTGAATAAATTTCAGAATAACATTCATTCTTCAAACCAGTTTAACAAAGTTGGGCAAAAATCACAAACTGCTTTATGTGCCTTGATATGGAAACAAAAGCGTGATAAAGATCCAGCGCAAATAATTATTTATTTTCTCAACATCTGTGATGACTGTTTAACAAGTTTCGACAAACCTTCACAACGCTTCTTTTCAATATATTCCAAGTCCTAGAAGAAAGAGTATTAAAGCAAGAATTTTAGAAATCCACTTATAAGAATTACTTTAGGTTACTACATAGAAGTATGTCTATAATTATGACGATAAATCATTTCATTTTCTAACGATTTAATGAGAATAAACCGCGATCATTTCATCTTATGTTATCAATTTTCATTATTAGCCTGGTAAAAATATACAAAAGACCGAAAGAAAGAATCTCCCTTGATATTTTTAGCGAACTTAAAACTCTGATCATTTTTTTCACCTAATTTGGTTTGGCGGATCAAATAATACTATATTAATCCTCAAACCACAAATGACTTTCATAGAGTAGTAGTACATAAACACCTGTTGGAAAATGACTATTCATCAAAATTTATTAGGCAGCACAAAATAATCAGAGCGGCAAAACCAGATCTTCAGTTTTTCGCAAAGAAAGATGTCTTTATCAGTCTTTCATACAAAGCTGACCCACATAGTGTATTCCTTAAGTAAGGTCTTAACACCACTTTTAAACGGGATTACTATACAGCCAGGGTTCGATTAGTAGGAACCACTAAGCCTGTATATTCTCACAAACCCCTACAGCAAGTGAATGAGAAAGTCACATCCCACTGCATCTACCGATTCAAATGTACGTGTAGTGACACATAAATATGGAGGACCCATAGATTCATGCAAGTAAGGACCTCAGAACACATCCCAAAGTGGATTCAGAAGCAAATTAAATCACCTGAACCTATAAACGTTGGTAGTAGACGTCCAAGTTCTTTGATCGCGAGACATTTCGGTGGGACAAGTCACGGGATTGACGTGGCTACTTTCTTTAGACCTATTTACAAAACGTGTTGGGGACGGATCTTTAAATCTGTTGAGGCCTTAGCTATTAGTGAATTCAAACCACCTTGGTTTGTTCATAAACAATTTATTCTCACATTATATATCTCTTGGTAAATTCAACTGTGAAAACTAAGCTCGATGTACTATTATTTCCACTCTATTAGTTTTCATTGCTATTCGGCCTTTAATTCAGCCTTTCTACTTGAACTCCTATTATTTATACTGGATGATGATTGAAGGTGAAATGAAAATCTGGACCGAGGCCAGATTCGTACCAACGACCATCGGGTTTTCGGCCCGATGCACTACCAACTAAGCTACGAGGTCTTTTCATTTTCTCACCCATTATCTTCATGAATTTTCATATAAATATGTATGACGCGTATGTGTGATCAGATAGTTCGAAATATGTTGTGCAAATACACTACATGGTCCAAACAATATACGTCTTGTTGTTTTGTTGAATTATATTATTCTTGATCATTTACATAGTTTTAAAAGAATGTTTCAATGAGATTAAATTAGAAAAGATGATAAAATGACCTAGGTATACTGTTATCTGCATGGAGAATTGAACAGAATAAGAATTAAACCGTTCACATCAAGTGTAATATCAGTTAATTTATTGATTGATAGTATGTCTCAGTAATAAGTTAGAATTCGGACATCATAAGTAGAATTCTCACGAATCATTTTAGAGGCTAGAAGTCGTCCATTCTTATTTCACTTATCCTTGCGCCTTTAGTCATCGTCTTTGTGATCTGTTTTATGCTCTATTAATAATTTCCTGCTGTCCTGCGGTTTACTGATACTCGGAATTAGCAACTCAATTATTTCTTCTTATTATTATCAAGGCAGACTACACTACTTTTAAATTAACAAGTAGATTGAAAAATTGAACTAAAATGTTGTACCTTGGCATACATTTGTTTCCGTTTAATCTCTTCATTTTGTCTCTGTAAAGCGGATTTCTCTTTCTCCAAAAATTTTATTTCATCGATTTTACTCAAGATGTCTTTGTATAACTCTTCATTTTCGTTACATATATTACTGACATGTTCAATTATTAGCCTATTTGAAATCTATAAAAATAGTACAAACATTTGAGTTATGAAAACCTAACAGGTATTTAACTAGAAGAAAGATGCAGTTCAAAGCTCTTTTATAAAGAGATGTATAATCTTTCCGGGTTCTGTCCAAGATGCCAGCTGTGATGCTTTTAATACAACAAGTATTAACGCTTTGGAAAGACGCTGGGAGGATTGTAACTGGTATACTCCAGTCAACCCGAACGGGGTTATACAACCAGTTCAACAAACAGTCTGGCAGAGGATTCCAAAGATAGCTCACACAATATCAGTCACACTGACATATTTACGGTAGTATGGACTCAATTATACTTAACCAAGAGGATTATAGTACTTGTAAAATCGTAGAACAACAATGGAAAATGAAACTATCTTTACACATGACTCGACATAAACTCATACATGCATCACATGTTTGTCTAGACAGCGAAACCTAATCACAGCAGGAAATGTCAATAATATTATCGCTAAATTCGTCTACAGTATATTTCTCGGCAAATGACTTCCAGCAACTTAACCACCATCCACAAAAATGATTGAAGTTCACGTAAAAGGGATATCAAGGTGCATTCACGTGCTTCCGGGTGGTAGTTGCCCTAAACTATAGGGATGAGGCCATCAGTTTTTCAAAATGAGGATTCTGTTAATCATTATTTGAAAGGTGATAGATACAATTCCTTCAAACATTCCTCGTATTACCGCAAATTCTGTTAGTAGTCTGGCAGTCACGAAATTCTTTTAGTTTACTTAGTTTCATCAAGTCTATTCTAAGTTATATCCCAGATAATACTTTCCGAAAATTTCCAAAGATTTCACTTCTTCCTACAGTTAGTGAGTTAAATGAATGTTTTTTTAATATCCTTGATCATCAGCTGAATTCCTAAAATATCTGAGTCGTTCAACGGTTAGTAAGCTTTATTGGTGTGAAATCCTTTCTTCTTTGTGTGTGATAAGTTGCCAGTCGACTTTTTGCCTTTGTAACCTAGTTTCCATGTCTCAATGAATCATCTACTGCTTAAGTAATGTGAGCTTTATTGGTCTACGGAATAATACTGCACCTTTATCTTTAGGTAATTGCTAATTGCTACATACGAAGCTGGTCCCAAGGTTATAATTGTCCCAACAGCTAATCCCTGAGGATACAAATTCTCAGTGTTTCAAATTATCGGATGTATCCACCAAAAATAAAGTGAAATGTAGAAAAATCAAAGACTTTATGTAGCCTGATTATGTAGTTGTTAATAAGAATCATCGGTAGAAAGCCTTAGTTGACCATCAGTCTCAATCTTCGAACGTGCTGCCAATGATTGACCAGTTATGCATATAACAAATGACGGTCTGCAGTATTATGTTGGATCCTACTTTCACTTCGAATAACATGCTGGCATACGGCTACTATCGACAGCAGTAACTGTTACTGCTTCAAGTAATGGTGTTGACACTGTAATATCCTATGTTTTCCTTGTGATGAAACCAAAGTGATCACGTATAATTGCAAGAAACAGCGTGTAACAGAAAAATGCTACCGTTTAACGATAAACGAAGCTATAACTTCGTCTTATCAACCAGTCAGTTTTATCAAACAACCTTTTATTAAAATTTCATCCTACAATAGATAAAAACAGTTTTTTCCAATGAATCAAAGAAGTTAAATTGCAGCGTTCTCTTTCATTAAACGAACGCGTGACTTTTAGTCTTCATCGCTTCAACTCTGAAGCTAGAAGCCAATCAACTGACTAGTTTAATCATATAAGTAAACCTTTTCAATATTATTACCCTGTCCGTTCTAGCATATAATTAAGTAATAAGAACTAAATCACCATGAAGGTGAGTTCTGTCAATACATATCTAAAACCAATTACGCAGTGGAGAGTATCTGTGTATGAAATGTCTTCTCTCATAGTTGGAAAAAAGATCTTCATATTTTGATAAGTCCATTAGTGTTTTGACTTGTCTTTCAGCACCACATCTGTTACTCCTGTTTCATTGTATTCAGTTTGCCACAAAAACTTGCTTTCTCGGTATACATTCAGTTGACATTTGTCAATCAATAAGGAGGGTTAAATGTCTCAGTCATCTTAGTGGAAGGTGGAACCTTAACTGAAGAATATAATATCTTGTAGTTGGAGAATAAATGGAAGCAACAGTCTTGTGACACATAGACAAGTTTCGATAGTTTTTAAATTATTATTCATGAAAAACGTCTTTTAAAATACTCAAAAGGTTGAATCATATAATAAAATCTTTTTAAGTTATGATAGACACTGACTGTCAAGTACTTCTTTTATGAAAAATACCTTTTTAGCCTCTTCCGTGACATTGTCAAGAATACTTTTAATCTCTCTGTCTAATTGTTCTTGTTTTATTTTAGACATTTCTTTAAATCTTTTCAGTTGCTCAGATTGACAAGCATGAGTTGTACGAATTTCTTTTTCTAATCGTTCAATTTCAGCTTCTTGTTTTTGACGAATTAACTGAACAATGAAAATTTATGAAAATAGAACAATAATATACGTGAGCAAGTCGATTAGCCACCTTGACAAAAAATTCAACTAACAGCTGAATTTTTTTGGAATACAGTACTGATTGATATCAGTATGAATCAGCAAGAAAGCGTTGGCTTTATCGAGGCTTCAAGTCTAATGAAAGTATACCTTATTTATTACTTGAAACTGTTCTCATCAAACTGCAAAATCCAATGATGATTTTGAATTTAACTTGATTGGCACCTTGAAAAACTAGATAGCATGCACTCAGGCACCATGTGTACATTTATGCAGTAACCAATGAGCCACATCTGTTGTGTAAGAGGGGTAGTGATATTACTTGCCTGCTCAAATCTCTTTAGGTGGAGCAGGGATCGAATATGTGAGTTAGTGGTTCAAAGTCATCTCACTAAAAACTATAACATCATAACGTAACATTTATCACTACCCCTTAATTTAGTAGTACTCTCCTACACATAAAATATCGATAACTTGTTTCTCTTGTTCAACAAATATAACACTATTAGAAACCTGATTCATCTAGTTACGGTAAAAACTTGTAGAGTCAGCAAAATTGTTCATATTGCATATACTCAGTCCTATATTTGAAAGATTTTTAAGTAGATTGTTGCAATGACACATCCCTTTCCTTAGAATTGACTATATTCTACCTGGATCCTTGCAGATCTTGAACTAGGCGCTTTTCGAACACATTAGTGTATAACAAGACCAAATGTGAAATTTCTACTCTTATATAGGCATGTGTATCTAACATAGGTGCAGTTCTAATATTTGCAGTGTGAATGAGCAGCCCAACTTATGTGTACACTTTTGCAATTGACTTGATGATTATAAGGATTTACGACAGTCTTATCGAGATATTCATGTTGGTACGATGATGAGGCTGTCATTATTATTAGGTGAATCATTTGAAAGTATCTGGAATTCATCTTTGGCTAACAAAAAAGCATCATTTCCAAATGATATGAATATCTTCAATACCAGCAGCATCTCCTTAACTGATTCAGGTCCGCAGTGCAAGTTTACACTAGAGGTCTTACCATTAAATCCTACTCCAATGGCCAGTATATAAGATTTACTGACGTTCTGTTCAAATTAAAATGGCTATATCTGTCAGCTGAGGTTTTTACGTTATGATGAAAACTAACATGTTGAGTTAGTCTTCTTACGAAATACTTCTTCTTAGCTACAGGTTACCAACAGGTTGGTAGATACAAAATAGCCATTACACTGTAACAAACTCCATTTCTAAGTCACTCGAATTACCATTCAAATTTATTCAAAGGTATTTATAGAATTTGATCATCACTCAAGACTAGGCAGCATGAAGTTGATTACTTTCCAGTGACCAATCACTGTATCTAATCCACTCCTACGGGAGGTTAGTCATGACCCTAACAGCTCAATGACAATATCGCTGACTGCAACACTGGATGACGTGGATTGGAATCTCACAGAGGACATCAGTTCTCTCGAGGTTTCTGGTTCGCCTTAGTAACATGTGTTGAAAAGCATGACACCAAGGTTAAAGGTTTTCTACTGATTCTCTTCAACCAACAAACATCTATCAAATCGAACTACGATGGTGAGTCTTCTAGCTTAGTGGATAGATTACAAAATGATCAGCAGAAATCGGACAACATAAAGTTGGTTACTTTCCAGTGATTAATCAATGTACTATTCAATACTATTGAATATAATATCCTACGGTCCTGAATTATACCTGAATGTCAACTGTTGAAGCTAGTTCTTCTTTGAAACTCTTCAGAAGTTTTTTCTCTTGCAGTAGAATATCTTGTAATTCTAAATAACAAGAATGAATCATTTATGGAAGAAAAAAAGGCAGTAAAATTACCAAACTTCTTTTTTGTATACATTGATAACATTTCTTCTCTTTCTCTTTTCAATTCACTTAAAGTATATATATGAAAATCATCTAATGTTATTGCATTTGTCAATCTTTTCTCATTCTTTTTATCCATATATGAATTGTATTCATTCTTTTTTTTAAAAAAAAGAAGAAATCATTATATATATATTGAACATTGAATCGACAGTACATTTTTAATTTCTTGCTCATCTATCAAGTGTTCAGTGTTCAATAATTCGTTTTGTCTAATCATAGAAATTAGTAGCTCATTATAACTTACATATCTGATATTTCTTTTGAAATCATTTCAGCTTCATTTGTTAAATTTGTGTATCTTATTTTTGTTAAAAGCATAAGATGAAAGTATATTACAAGACCTACTCTTCTCTTAACAACTCTTCTTTATCCACAAAAATGTCATCTTCAGGTATAGAATTAGACTCGGTTGTCATTGGAAACAATGTTCAAGTGAGCAAAAACTATACAGACTGTAATGTAACTCTCAATTGTGAAGTTTAATATGTTAAATACATAAATTATCATCAAACAGGTAGTGACAAAATCATGTTTAAAATTTGATGATAGTGGAGATCCAAAAAGTTCATTCACTTGGTACAAAGATCTGGAATAAAAAACAATTTTTAGATAATCTAAACTAAAGCCTCACCATGAATGAATATATACTACTTAAGTTAAATGTGTAAAGCTTTTCAACATTTGCTAAAATTATTATAAAATAATAACAGAAAATAACAGCAGAACACCGAACTTTTGACACAAGTAGAAATGTGATGCTAATGAAGGAAACGAGAAGACAAAGTCAAAGAAATGATTGTTTATTACTGACATATTGTTCAGTAATCACTAAATATGGTACACTGCACTAAAACAGTCAAAAAATGAAGATGTTTAGGCTAATTAACTATATGATGGTGAACAAGTAACGCAACGTTATACATCATGTACTTAATGACGTGAATATCTGACCTTCAGAAAAACAAGTGTTTTAAAGCAATAAATATTAACACAAATAACAAATATCCCTTGATTACAACCAGCTGATTTTAGGAAATTATTTACCGCTACATATGCACTAGTGGGATCAACCATAAGGGGTACCATCCAGCCTATAACTATTGGTTTCAGTTATCCTGTGGAACCTATCTGGGAAGCCTACATTCTTCACAACTCTCAGAGAGATTGTCTAAGACTTAACAGATTGATGCTATGCTTTTTTATGAACATTCTCAGCATTTGGTTCAGTTAATCCTAATATAACTAAAATTACACTTCGGAGTAGACAATGCTTCGGCATGCGTTTCACTATACTCCAGTAATGCAGCGTGGATAACATTAGTAAAACATTTGTGGTTGTGATATGAATTCATTTTCCAATGATTTTTAAAATACAATTTCTTTCACTGATTCGGTAATTTAAAAGACAATAGAACACATGAATACAATCAAAACAATCAAGAGTCCTACAGTTTTTATCCTTCATCCGATACAAATTTCTCTGTTAAGGACTACATAATCTCTGAATTTTGCCGGATAAAATGGTAATTTCTTATGTACAATACCAGTAATAGTCACCTACTGAAGTAGTGTTGGTCAAAATTACAACATTTACAGGATAACCAATTTTCACGTTGCCAGACATTGAATAGAATCAGTATTTATTCTATGCCTAGGCATTACTAAGCCTTAGAATAACTCAAGTTGTGAATTTCCTAGGTTTCGGAATAATAGCCTTCATGCAAGTTTCCAGTAGATTAATGTCTTTTTTAGACTAACATCACTTTCATATGACTCATCAACCACATCGATAGCCAAGGTGATTTCCCTACATCGTGAAATACAGAAACAATCTTAGTTGGGTCAAGGCAATCTGCAGGAATCCCAGCATTACCTAGGTCCCACGCTTGTTGGCAGTCGTCAGCGAGGCGCAGCCAACCTCCAGAGAACTGGTATCTCCTGCGAGATTCGAACTCACGCCACCTGGCGTTGTAGTCAGCGACGTTACCACTGACCTATTCGGGTCGTGACTGACCTCCTTTAAGACTGGATCAGATATATTGACTGGTCACTGGAAAGCAACCAATTGGATATTATCTAGTGCTGAATGCTGACCGAAATCTATCGGTTGTTTTGCAGTGTGGCCACCAAGCTGGAAAAATTACCATAGTGGTGTAGTTTGATAGATGCTAATTGACTGGAGGTAACGTCGCTAACTCCAACACTGGGTGACAGCAGTTCGAATTTCATACGGGACATCAATTCTCTCGAGGTTGCAGTACCACCTTGCTAACTAATGTAAACAAGCACAAAACCTAAGCCGAGCAGGACTTTCTTCTGATTACCTCCATCCAACTAACATTATTAGTGTACCGCAATGGTGAGCCTGCTTGCCTAGCAGCCTCATTCCAGAAAAATCGATAAAGTTTGGTCACCACTCAGGACTAGACAGCAAGAGGGTGGTTGCTTTCCAGTGATCAGTCAATGTAAGAAACATTTATTGTTTAAAAACGCACTTACAAGATGAATGTAGAAGGAAAAGAAAGAAAATTAAGGAAAATTGTAAACTATATATCATAAAGTATGTGCATTCCTTGAGGTCTTTTAATCACACTTTGGTGTGTTTTTGTTTATTACGCTAAATAACTTATTTATCGCTGTCAGTTATTAGAATAAATATTGTTCAAGTCAATTCTCCAGCATTTTTATCTTCAGAACAAATGGTCTTCAATTCTTCAGAAGACTGACGAAATTAACGTAGAACCACGCATACAAGTGTATCCATTCTAGTTGCCACATTTCATAGTAATATACAAAGAACAGGTGTGTTAAATAAGAGTAATATCAAAGTAGAAAAGTTGCGTGGGAGAATAAATAATCTGAAGATAACGATTTGTGAGAATATTCAAGCTTTAGGAGACATCAGGGAGTGAATACATCTGCGCTATCATCATCAATTTTCGGCCATGTCACCAAGATTCCTTAACCACTGATTCCTTTCTTCTTGGGGACGCCTACCAGGCAGTTTACATCTCCCCACACTTCTAAAACCAACAGTTATAGACTTCATGGACTGGTAGCATGTCTTGGTAAGGCCATCCTGAACACTTTTCCAACCTAATCCAGTTTCCCGTAGCATGACACGTCGAAATAGGCAGAGGCTTGTCATGCTTAGTACATTTCTAAATTACCTCAGCCAATAGAAGTTCGAAATCTCATTGTTTGGCTCATCTGTCTTGTCCGGTACCCTTCACCTGACTTCAACATTGCTCAAATGGCGTTCCCACCAAACTCAAGCAATGCTACGGGGATTCCTGTGATCAAAACCATGTAACTACTTCACATCTATTTTCAACAGCTATGTCTCACAGCTATACGGCAGAACTGAAGGGAATTCAAGTCAGAATACTCTTCTTTTGAAGGGTAGTTGGATATCTCTCCCATCGGCAACATAGATGACTCAAGTTGGTAAGTGCCAAACTGGCCTTTCGTATCCAAAAGAGACAGTTTTGTAGTCACTTTCCTTTTTATAAATTTTTCATATGATACTACCAATGTCTTATGAATATCCAGATCAAGATTTACTATTCAGGTTTCGTTTTACTTTCTTTTGATCTTGTAGAACATTAGGTTGCAATAGTCGTGCCTGATTTTCCGATGTTTAGTGAAGAACTACATGTTATCCTCTATGTTACAGAATTACAGAGTTAAGGAAGGAAATTATTTTCACTGTTCATAGTTTTTGTGTATTGAGGTTTTTAATTTGATACAATAATATTCACCTTGACTTCAGTCTAAAGCGATAAACAGTATACCAACAACAAGTTGTAGTCTAAGACATGACTTAGATTGGATGAAGAGATTTGTAAGATTGTAGCACTTACGATTCCTAGTTTAATCTACTGAGAAGTGAATTCACACTATGATTATTCCTTCATACTGTACAGTAGATATGAGGCAAGTTATTTATGGTATTCAGGACTTTATTAGATGACAACATAGCTTTAACATCTTTTCGTTTTCTCACTAAGTAGTAACATCTCCAAAAAACATAACACGATAGTTCAAAGTTCAATATCGAACAATACTACTTCGGAGAACTGGTTTTTTTCATTCAACTAATCAACTTTTGAAAACTAGTGGTAAAGAAATCTTTTGTGCACCATTATTGATGTATTCAAAAGGAGGTAACAAAAGAATGTAATTCGATGAAAAAACGTGGACATGCCATTATTATGGTTTCAAACAGCTATAGCCACAATGGGTACTACCAACTGCTAATGTTCCACAACTTCTAAGTTGATTCCCGACCCGACTTATCAAGAAAGAAGATACACTGAAACGTGTTCGAACGTACATTCAAACTGAAAACCAGAAATAATCAACAGAAGGAGAATATATCAAAATATATACAAAGTCCGGCCTCTAGAAATAATAATATTGGTTGATTAATCGTCTGCTAGTCTCATTATAGACGTAATTAACACAAAATACAGTTTGATTGATTCATTTCTGAACTAGTTTGTTCGATCTACTTATCAGTCGCCCTTCATTATTTAGCCCTTGTTGATAAATTTAATGAGAAGTGATCAGACAGAACTTTGCTTTAAAACCTATATAAAATGGTATTTCAATAGGGCATAAAACAATTCCATGATTGCGGCATGCTTTGTGTACGGATTACCCTTTTTTGAAGAATATGATATGGCTTTTGTTTTCAAAAATGTACTTTACGATACTGCAAAACCTACTAAGGGTATATTTTTGGCAATCCAAAGAAAACATAACTTCACTGCGGTAGCAGTTTACCTTTTCTGAAAGAAACTAAGCCATTAAGCATGCAAGAATTCAAGGTTTTTAAATATTTCTCAGTTTTATATTTACATCTAAAATTCCGTCTATCTTAGGTGGATTGTAGTATATTTTTGTGTTAATTACGATTTCAGAACTTCTCGTCAGTTGTCTTGATGCCTGTGAGCCTAGATTTTCTTTCTTTATTAAGAAGTATTTTGTGTCTCTCATCCTCAAGTATTTCGTTCATCTCTGGTGATGACAAAACATGAAAAAAATCAACACAAAACGTCACAAACAGGTGCATCAGTTCAAGGTACCACACTTCGCAGTAGTAAACAAAGAACAGGTGGATATCAAAGTGGACAAAGCTGAGTGAGAGAATTAAGAATCTGAGGACATAGGTTAGTGAGAATATTCAGGTCCCAGAAGACTTCAAACAGTGAATACATATGCGCCACTGTCACCGATTTTCAGCCATGTCGCCAAGATTCCTACACCACTGATTCCTATTGTCTTGGAGACCACAGCCAGGTAGACTGTATGTCCCAACATGGCTTGGACCAACCGTAAGTGACTTCATGGACTTGTGCTACGACTTGGTCTAGGCACCCTGAAGGCTCTTCAAACCTGATTCAGCTTGTCG